TGGAGATCTCTGGGAGATTTTCACCGTTTGATATTACATGGAGCTGGGAGGTCTCTGGTGGACCAATGTCTTGAACTCAGCTCTCCCACCTCAGAGGCACAGGCCTGACACCCAGCCGGAGCACCAAGACCCTGTCAGCCACACGGCTTTTGGGAGGTCTGAGGTCTTCTGCCAGCATTCAGTAGGTGTTCTTTAGGAGTTGTTCCACATGTAGATGTATTTCTGATGTATTTGTGGAGAGGAAGGTGATCTCCACATCTTACTCCTCCACCATCTTGAAGGTCTCCCTTCACCAGCTCTCTTCAAGCATTGCAGCAGCAGAATTTTTCAAGGCCAACAGGAGAATCTCCAGTCATCCATTGAATCCTGTCATGCTCTGAGTCTCTCTGACTTCTGTTTCTTTCAGCCAGAGGAAACTCCCTGCTTTTGCGCAGCTCATGTAATTACATGATTAGGCCCAGCTGAGTGAACTCCCTTTTGACATTTAACATAACATAATCATGGGAATGATATCTCATCACATCCACACTGAAAGGGGAGAGAATTTGGTTATATATATAAGATTGAAAGACATTGGGGTAGGATTCTGACTACTGCAATCTACCCTGTCACCCTCAGTGGTCCACATGTGTTCCACATGCAAGATACATGAACCTCCTCCAAAGGCTCCTAAGGGCCTTCCTTATCCCTTTTCAGCATCAGTTCAGAGTCCAAAAGCTCATCTAAATATCATCAGCTCAAAAGCCCAAAATACCATCACCTAAATCAGGTGCTGGTGAGGCTCCTGGGAGTAATTCATTTGGAGCACAATTCCTCTCTATCTGTGGGCCTGTGGAACTACAGAGACAAGTTGTTTGTCCCCACACTCCCAACAAACAATGGTGGGACAGGCATGGTAACTGTTATAGGCATTTCACTCAAAAAGCATGTAAATGGAAGGCACAAAGGAGTTATCAGTTCAAAGCAGTTTTGACACCCAGCTGGACCAGCTCATTAGGTTTGAAAGCCTGAGAATAATTCTGCTTGACTCTTTGCTTTACTCTCTTGGCTCTTGGTTCTGGCCTCTGAGGGTCACTGAGTATCATTCTTAGACTAATGCTACTGTAAGAATGATTTGATTTTTTGTGTAGACTTCATTTCAAGTATCTTGAGGAATTCATGGCTGATACATGAGGATACATGATATATTAGTAAGCATAACCCAAATATTTTATTTATTTATTTTTGGCTGTACTGGGTCTTCGTTGCTACATGCAGGCTTCCTCTAGTTGTGGCAAGCAGGGGCTACTCTTCGTTGCAGTGTGTGGGCTTCTCACTGCGGTGGCTTCTTTTATTGCGAAGCACAGGCTCTAGGCGTGCGGGCTTTGGTAGATGTGGCACGTGGGCTCAGTAGTTGTGGCTCGCGGGCTCTAGAGCGCAGGCTCAGTAGTTGTGCCTCATGGGCTTAGTTGCTCTGTGGCAGGTGGGATCTTCCCACATCAGGGCTCGACCCCATGTCCCCTGCATTGGCAGGTGGATTCTTAACCACTGCGCCACCAGGTAAGTCCCCAAATGTTTATGAAGAGAATAAAATGGCACCCCAATTTTTAAGCACAATGATATTAACCACCCTCTGGTAGAAGATTATGAGTCATTTCCCAAGCATGAGCTCATACTCGTAAGATGATGACTTCTAGGAGTAAGGAGCATCTATTAGGAATGGTCATCTGATAGACGATTATCTCAGTGATGAAATATGAGGAAATCAAAGAACTGAGAAAAAAAAAGTTTACAATAAATGCTTGAAACAAAGCTTACTAGCATTTCCTTAAGCCAAGTTTTCTCTAAAATAGTCAAATGTCATCAATAAGAAAAAGCCAACCAAATGTCATGTATTTGGGTAGTCAAATTGTTAATATAAAATAAGAGCTCCCTAAGACCTAATATAGGCCCAGTGTCCAGCACATGGATGACTCTCTGGGATTATTTTGGCAGTGGCATTGAAATCATACAACCTCAGAGACCTCTTCCACACAAGGCTGTCCTGAGTGTGACCCTTAGACAAAGTCATGAGAAGGCTGATATGGGCAAAAGAGAGAAAAGATCTTTAGTCTAATGATTTGTAGCAGACAGAGGCAAGGTGAGGAAGAAGTTATAGTGATAATGTAGACAGTTTCATTCTTCACATGTTAAAACAATGGTCCAAGCCCACTGTGAGCACAGAACGTTCTTTGAGGCATTTTTCAAGTTGCAGTTGTAGATTTGGGCCAATACAGTCATCATTTCTTGTCTAGTCTCTCCTGTGAACAAGGGCAAGTATTACAGTGGGTTATTGTTATAATTACTACAGTGAGAGGGTTGTGTGAAAACTCAGTTTGTAGTGGGAGAATCAGACACCCTTAGCAAGCAAAGATGGAACAAGAACTCTGGGTTCTGGCCTACTAGATAATCTAATGGACACCATTTATTGAGTACCTCCTGTGTGTAAAACACCGTGTTATGTGTTTTATAAATGTTGTCTCATTTAGTCCTCAAAGCAATCCTTAGGCAGTAGGAACTTTGACCCCATTTTATAGTTGTAGAAACTGGGGCTCTGAGAGAGGTTGCTCTTTGCCCAAGGACACACAATTAGTCAGTGATGGTTGCTTCTGTAGCATTCTGCATACTTTTCTCACAGCTTGCCCATTAAATTGAAATTACCTGTTTGAGTGTCTCTTGCCCACACCAGACTATAAAGTCACAAGGAGAGGGATTCAATCTTATTTCGAACCTAGTGCAGGCAATACATGTGTGTTGAACTGAATCAGTGGCCTCTAAAACCTGTGCTTGTATCTGGCATGATGTGCTAACTTCCTAAGCTTAGTAGCCATGAAACATTATAAAAATGTGGCAGGGACATTATTAGGGCCTGGAGACAGAGAGAGTGCAGAGTTTTAGCATTAGAAGACCTTCTAGAAAGGACCTATGTCCTCTTCAGAAGAATTCATTCTCAAAATTCTTCATTCGTGCAAATTCTTTTTGATAAGAAACTAACTCCATGGATACCACATAGAAAATTAGTGTAGAAATTCTCTTCCGCTAATTTCCTCCCCCGTGCCCCCTCCCAGAGCACAAAGAATAACAACAGAAATTGGACAAATAGTTTTTTGCATGTTTTCTGTGTTCCTGTCACTGCTGCTCTGCACAGATTTGGTGAATAGGTAGCAAAGCACAGAAAAGGTCAAGTACCTCTACCATGATGTCTGCCATCTGACCCCTAGGCCCTTCTCACCTTGTGGGTGAAGTGACCTGGGCAAAAAATGTTCCGGATGTACACTGACCACCAACCAAGGCCAGACATCTAGGCCCTATGCTAGCGTGGACACTCCATGGAGGCCTATCAAAAGGGGCAAGTTTCAGAGAGTGGAATTTCCTGGGTGTGGTATTTACTCAAAGAAGCCAGAAACAGCAGAAGGAAAGGGGTAGGTGCAAACCATAATCCATATGAGCCAGCCACAGGTGTTCCAATGGGACATGGTCACATGTCAGATCTGCAGGGCAAATCAGTCTACAAATGGGCAGTAAATCCAGAAGCAGGAGTCCTGGAGGAGCCAGGAGTGGTGAGAAGGTGGATGCGAAGCAATTAAGGGATGCAAACCATGAGCAGGACCCAGGTGGAGGCCTGCTCTCATGGGTGTTTCCCCAGTGGTGGAGGGACAGGCCTGCTAGCTAAAGGCTGTGGGACAGGTCCCAGAGAGGCAGAGTCCTTATAGGAGCCAACTATAAGCAGAAGCTCAGCTCCAGGACCCAGAGACCCGGGGGGCCAGGAGGGTGGCAACTTGGAAAGCAAACACCCATTACTGAGGAAGTACATGGCAGAGGCATGTAGCACCATTATTCAGAACTTGAGTTCTGGAGTCAGACTGTCTGGATACCAATTCCACCTGCTGCTGACTGACCATGTGATTTTGCTTGAGTTACTCAACCTCTCAATCCCTCTGTTTCTCCATCTGTGTAATAGTACTCACTGTGTTTGTTATAAAAATTCAATAAAGCAACAATCCTAAAGCTTTTTTCACAGCCCCTTACACACAGACGCACTAAATAAATGCTTAGTGTATTGTCAGTAGCAGCAAATTATAGTACTAGTTATCAACAGAGGAAACTGAGGAACAAATTGGAAACCCATGGTCAGCACTTGAACCCTCAGTGCTAGCGTTCAAGGGCCGCGCTTTGCATAAGATGCTCCAGATGCCTGGAACCCCTTCTCCCTCCTCTACAACTGGCTACAGCTTCCATCGCCTTCAGGTCTCAGCTCACATATACCTACCCCCAGGTCAGAGGCTCCTGTTTTCCTGATGAGTAGACTAAGAACATTTGGATTTGTCTGCTCTGTATCTGGTTTGGTCTGGGAACTAGGGCAGAGTCTTCCTGCCCAAGGCCAACTTGGTACTGGCATAGACTTACACTCAGAGATAAATTACATTATTGTAACTAAGGGACCGAGGCTGGTAATTTTATGAAAAAACACACTGTGGATGTTATTGTGTGTTGTGAGTTCAGCTGAGGCAGAACTCTAACAGGTAGGGCTCTTCTGAGCAGGAATAATATGGGGTTCTAGCACTGAAACCTACTGAATAGATGCACTGGACTAGAGTTTGGATGTGCGCTTGTTGTTTTTGAGAGGGAGGTAGAACATGGACAAATTGCTGTTTTTACTCACTGATCCAGGAGGCAGACCTTGAAATCTAAGCAAAAGGTTTGTTCTCAGGTTAGCTTCTTGGCTATGGAGCCAGTGACTTAACCAGAGAGTTTTCAGCATCGTGTCCAGCTTGCTCTCAGTAAAAGTGGAAGTTGATTTTTACTTGGCACCCTTTAGGCTAGCAGAAGCTGGACCTGGCTCTGCCCCATTTGTTTAGATTCGCATTCTACCTGAGGAAAGTTATATGGCCACGCCATCAAGTTCAAATTATTTTATGTGGCTTCCTCAGATGCTCCATGACCTGACTCCTCAATAACTCCTTGCCTTCATGTCTCACCAGTCCCTGTTGCAGGTTGGTTCCCAGCCCTATGGAACTTCCTTCAGCTTTCGGCAGCCAGGCTCTCTCTTGCCTCTGAGTGTTTCCGGTCTGCCTGAACTTTTCTTCGTTACCACTTCTTCATCTGTGAAAACTCCACCTCACCCTGCAGACTTCTGCTTAATCATCACTGCCTCTGGTAGGCCCCCTTCCACTGCAGCCTGTCCCCCCAGCCCAAATTAGGTGTTTCCAGTGCTCCAGGAGGACACATGAGATATGACCTTGCTCACATACACTGTGCTCCCAGGCTCATTACTGGGCATAGCACAGAGTCACCAAAAAATAGGTGTTGAAAGAATGAGTGACTGGGGCTTCCCTGGTGGCGCAGTAGTTAAGAATCTGCCTGCCAATGCGGGCGACACTGGTACGATCCCAGGTCCGGGAAGATCCCACATGCCACAGAGCAATTAAGCCCATGCGCCACAACTACTGAGCCTGCACTCTAGAGCCCATGATCCACAACTACTGAAGCCCGAGTGCCACAACTACTGAAGCCCGCACACCTAGAGCCCATGCTTCGCAACAAGAGAAGCCACCGCAATGAGAAGCCCGCACACCGCAACAAAGAGTAGCCCCTGCTCGCCGCAACTAGAGAAAGCCTGCATGCAACAACAAAGACCCAACGCAGCCAAAAATAAATAAAAACAAATAAGTTAAAAAAAAAAAAAAGAATGAGTGAATCAGTGAATGAATGGATGGACAAAATATGCCTGTCCTCTGCAAATGACCAACAGAGGGCTGTTTTGAATAGGGACCTAGAAGGCGAGGGATGCTTTTGGTGTTCTTGGATTGGGTATGGTAGAATAAAGAATTGAAACCTGTCCCAAGGCATGGGAAAACACTTAAGTAAAATGATAAAATAAATAAAATAGTAAATTGACTTAGCCAAAATAAAATAAATCACGGTAAACTGATTGATTGTACTGAGCCTCAATAGGATGGATGCACAGCAGTACTCAGCTTCAAGGACACATCTGCCAGCCTTCTCCTGAGGATTGCATCTATATTTCTTAAGGGGAGAACCTTATGTCTGTAACACAGATCTACCACCAATGTGGGTCTTCAGACAGTTTCTCAGGGGTGCTCCACAAGAGTACTGAACTTACAAAACTGATGCTAAAGGCCTTATCCCCTTCTGACTAGGAATCATAACTCAAGATTGGATTGTAAGTATGGTGGGCTACTCTGGCCTTACAGGGCAGGAAGAGAGACTGAGACTTAGCATGAGACCTACCTACTAGTGTGGGACTGGCTTTGAAGAACCAGTTTAGCTGTGGAGAATAATGCCAGTAGAGGAACCAGACAGGAGCCACTATTACCAAGGAATATCTCGGCCTCAGTCACAACTGGGGCAGCGACTTGCAAGGGGGTTTCCAATCAGAAGTATTGAAAGGTTGAAGGTGTGTTGAGTGGCTTTAACAAGAAAGAGTCAAAATGACAGGGTCCTCACCATCAGGGTTGAGTTCAGGGTGGGGGCAGGCCCCAAACATGGTGGGCCTGCCAGTTGGTGGCAGGAGAAAGAAGACAGAAACAGGTAGGATTGGGGACAGGGAAAGTGACTCTGCTGTGGCACTGGCCTCTTCAGAGAGGGTCGGCAGTAGAACACACTGGGCCCACGTAGAAAGGAGCTAAAGGTGGAGTGGGAGGCACGGAATCAGCAGACAGTCACTAGCTGCACAGGAAGTCAGAAGGAAAGTAAATGAGGTGGAGCTGAACCTAGAGCAGAATCACCTTCCAGAATTCTACACTAGGACATAGTGGATTCCACTGGGAGGGCTGATGGCATGAAGTTCCTAGGACTGTAAATACCAGGGAGGTGTTGAAGGAGCTCTGGAATTTGGGGTCAACACCTTGGCAGAGGTAGAATCATCAGTAATGATTTATCCCAACCGATGGAGCAAAAAGGTCCTTTAAGCTGAGCATCCAAGGAGGTGGCTGGGAGCTCCTGAGTGGGGAAGGTGGGCATGAAAGAAGGCAGCTTTGAAGTAAGAGTCTGGAACTGATGCAGGTTGTGAAAACACCAAAGGAGTGAGGGTTGTGAAAGCAAAATTCATTTCCTGGGCTCTGTGAGAAGTAAGGCACCAGAAGATCATTTGCGTGTTTAGGGCCTGGCCAACAGGGACTTTGGAGTGATGTCTGAGGCACTGTTCCCAGGGCTGGGAGAGAGGGCAGGAGTGCCCTAGACTCAGGTTGTGTGGCAACAGGGGACCTAGGTGGACTACAGGGTTAGAAGCCATCTGATTCCTCCCTTTCCAATGAAGTGTGGCTCCTAAGACTTGGGTGGGGTCTCATATGCTTGAAACGGACAAGAACCTGGCCTGTCTGATACCAGTCTGGGTGGTGACAGAGGACTCAACAATGGGGTTCTTCACTTAGGGTGGGGCTTATCGGGCTGTAAACCAGGTTGGAAAATTCCCCAATAAGCCATTCTCGAAACACTGCTGGGGTAATCCATCAGCCATAAAGCCATATCCTTACGCCTGGGCTAAAGAATTCTATAGCAGTTTTGGGTTTTCTGCTCAATGGGTCCTACTGAGAATACACTGCTGTAATTGGAGGAAACATGGCTGAGACCCACACCTGTGATGTCACCTTCTCTTTATTTTATCTTTTTATTTATTTTTTCTGAATTTTCTGGTTAAGAAAAGATTCCTTTTTATTTTTATTTTTCTTATTAGTTATCTATTTTATACATATTAGTGTATACATGTCAATCCCAATCTCCCAGTTCATCCCACCACCACCACCCACCACACACACTTTCCCCCCTTGGTGTCCATACGTTTGTTCTCTACACCTGTGTCTGTGTTTCTGCCTGGCAAACCGATTCATCTGTACCATTTTTCTAGATTCCACATATATGCGTTAATATACGATATTGGTTTTTCTCTTTCTGACTTACTTCACACTGCATGACAGTCTCTTTGTTCATCCATGTCTCTACAAATGACCCAATTTCATTCCTTTTTATGGCCGAGTAATATTCCATTGTGTATATATACCACATCTTCTTTATCCATTCATCTGTCAGTGGGCATTTAGGTTGCTTCCCTGAACTGACTATTGTAAATAGTGCTGCAATGAACATTGGGGTGCATGTGTCTTTTTGAATTATGGTTTTCTCTGGGTATATGCCCAGTAGTGGGATTGCTGGGTCATATGGTAATTCTATTTTTAGTTTTTTAAGGAACCTCCATACTGTTCTCCATAGGAGCTGTATCAGTTTACATTCCCACCAACAGTGCAAGAGGGTTCCCTTTTCTCCACACCCTCTCCAGCATTTGTAGACTTTCTGATGACGCCCATTCTAAGAGGTGTGAGGTGATACCTCATTGTAGTTTTGATTTGCATTTCTCTAGTAATTAGGGATGTTGAGCAGCTTTTCATGTGCCTCTTGGCCATCTGTATGTCTTCTGTGGAGAAAT